GAAGTCGGGCAAGTGGTCCTTAGGTCACCAAGTGGAGCAGCCGCCTGCAAAGACAACTGACGTTGGGGGGCCGCGGGCATTGCAGAACGAAGGGGAGAACAGTCATTATGGCTGTCCGTCACAAGGATAAACAATGTACAAACCTCAACAATGGATACGCAAAGTCGAGAACGAAGGGAGTCGGCCAAATCGCTTGACTCTATACAAGGAAACAACAACTTCAACCACCACACGGGGCGATATCAGTCTTGGGGAAAGCGTGTATATGTTAGTTGAAGAGGGGGCGTGGCTCTGTTTTTATATGATTTCAGAAGGCAATTAATGTGGCATCAGGATGGGTCTGAAACGCCAGCGCGAAGGGGGGGGGGAGTTCGTTCACAGAGAAAATAATGCGCCGGCATCGGGGGTGATAATTTTAGTGGTTCTCGGAGCAGCTGTGGCTAACTGGGCGCAGTGAGGGAGCGGACAGCTGGCTCTCCGTCACAAAATCATTTCACATCGTCGAAACAGTTGTCTCTTGAGGCAGTTGGGGGCTGGAAGCATTGTGGGAAAAGGCGATGAGCAGCAAGGAAGCCGAACGCGGGGGTGGCGACAGTATTCGAGTACCACGTGGTCGGAGGGCCGGTTTTGCCAGCAGTGTGCATTTGACTGGAAAAAAGGTCAACCGGGAGGGGGTGGGGGATGGTGGCCAGCATTCGAGGGAGGAATGGGGCACGGCCATGCGGTTCAAAGGAAGATGGAAAAGCTTTCGTAAGAGGGAAACAATCATATGTACGTCGAACAAGATTTTCGCTGGAGAAAGGAGGTGGATCATTTCAATCTTGTTCAGCCGGACATAACAGCAATTGTACAGTTTATTATCTTTGAGCGTGATCTCGAGATCTTTTGGAGGGCACAGGATGCCAGCATTCCAATAGACGTCTTTGCTATCTCCTAAAAATCTAATTCGATAAGCATGACTTCTATAGATTAACGATGCCCTTACACATTCAAATATATTCTATGAAAAAGTTGGACAACATATTTTTTCTTGTACTCATTTCATAGAAAATCATGTCTTATACAAAATTACAAGGCAAGGAAAGGTTACTGTGGAGGTTTTATAAAGTTCCTTACTGTCAAAAGTGTAAATAAAGTATTGTCGAGAAAATCATTTAACGGTATTCGTGAAGTCACGAAGGGGATCCTTGAATGAGTACACGGATCATTTGCATTCCATTTTGAAATATCGCGCTTCTCGGCAGTTCTGTGGTCATTGGATGTTTGTACCAGGCACACTTCGGCAGCGCACTAGTATCTCGACAGTAATGTGTTGTCAAAATGGTACGCTACATTTGGACG